GTTTTTGGCCGAATTGTTGGCCTACAGCGTTTGTTGTTGTTGTTGTTGAGATAATTGTGTATTTGCATGTAGCTGTAGGAAGTAATAGAGATATCCCTTATATACTTTGCTTAGTTTCCACCAGTGGTAATATTCTGGAAAACTACAGTGTAAGATCATACCAGGATGTTGACATTATTAGTCTTACGAATGTACTTATATTTAATTAATTAATTAAGTGGTGGTACTGGGGATTGAAGCCAGGACCTTGGGCATGCCAAACATGTGCTCTACCACTGAGCTATTATCCTCCCCCCAAACAAATGTACTTTTAAAATGCAACTTTGTAGTAAACTTGGAGCTACTTCAATGAAATTTTCGCTATAAATCATGCCTCGTATTCTGTATCTGTTATCATTTTATGTGTGTCCTAAATATGGTCCTGTTAAACCATAAGCACCCACTTTGTGTCTCTCTTATTTTTTTTAATTCCCAGTGCTTAGCACAGGGTCTGGTATGCAGGTTCCCAGCACACATTGATTAGATGAATGATTAAGAGGCTGAGAACATGCACATTGACACAGACTGCTTCTTGTTTTTATGGCTTATTATTATTATTTTAATTGAAGTCTAGTAAGTGTACAATGCTGCATCAATTTCTGGTGTACAGCATAATGTTTCAGTCATCCATATACACACATATATTCCTTTTCATATTCTTTTTCACTATAGGCTACTGTAAGATATTGACTATAGTTACCTCTGCTATACAGTAGAAACTTGTTGTTTATCTATTTTATATGTAGTAGTTAGTACCTGCAAATCTTGATCAGTGTGTTGGTTGCTGGTTCTTGAGGCCTTACTGGTGATTCTTGAAGTGATTGGCAACACTCATGAGCTTAGTCTAGAAAATGGATTTAGATTTTAAAACAGGAGTAAGGAAGTAGAAAGTGTGCTCTCTTGAGATATTGGTACCTTTCTCTCATTATGCTGTGAAAAATGTTTGGAATTCTTCTCGTTAAACAACATTCCAAAGGTCCTGTCCAAATTTTAGTTCTGTGGTGGGCAAATGACTTCGTATAGGTCTTAGCAGATTTATGAGACTGACGCGCTACCTACTGCGCTAACGAGGCACCTAGGTCTTAGCAGATTTAAAAAGCAGAGACAACAGAAGCTGTCTCACTGACATTGAATTTTAGTAAAATAAAATGTAGATCTCTCCAGGTCTGATCCTTTCACCAAGGCACACGATTAAATGACTTGTTTAATATCATACCAAATGACGAGGACCC